TTTTTTTTTTTTTTTTTTTTTTTTTAAGTATAGCAATACACCAATGAAGGTCAGTGGTGGCTATATAGCAGTCTTGTTTTATTTAGGATCCTATTAGACATATGGAGACTAGAGTGGGAATCAGCTTTTAGTAATACAGTATTAAAATAGTACAAAGGAATGCAGAGATAGCTTCAATTAAGGTGCTGTGGAGTTACAGTGTTAATATTAATGCTAAAGACTTTTATGTTTTCAGATAAGCACCACTTCCTGCCAACAGATTTCTTTTCCTTCCTGGTCTAGTGAGCTCCCCAGCCTAACTAACTGTTGCTCTCTGGGGTTTTCCATAGTGAGATCATTAAACTTTGACATCCTAAGGTTATAAGCAGAATCAATGGGAAAACTGTTAAATCAGGAAGTAGTAGTAGTGGGACATGGCCTGGTATTTTATGCCTATTGACTGCTGGTTATTAACAATCTTTGTTTTCTATATTTCCTCTTTTGGACTATAGGAACAGTCATCTTTTTCAAAGCACTACTTTTGTAAGATAGGAAGGGGGGGTGTCTTCAGTTCTACAAGTTTCTGACTTCCTTTTCATTTTGAAAAGGAATATAGAGGGATAGAGGAAAGACCATTTGAGTTCAGAAAAACTTGGGCTATTATTTGGACTCTCTTAATTGTGTGATCAAGGACAAATGATTTGCTCACCCTCTCGAGGCCTCAGTTTCTTTATCTATGAAATGAGGATAGAAATACTTTCCTCGGGGTTAGTGTGAGGACTAAATTAAACATCCTATTTGTAAAGAGCCCAGGACAGTGTTTATTTAGCACATTATAGTCGCTCATTAAATACTACTTATTAGTATTACTGTTATTATCAGAGCAAGTAAACATTTAAAAGAATGTGTCTCAGATCCTTACCCAGTACTAGGTATTTATGTTCATTGTTTATCTTAGGGCATTAAAATGTTGCCACAGTTCATAATAATTTTTAGTACTCGTTGAAATTTTGTTTAGTTGTGTGCTTTTAGCAAGGAAGCCCCAGGAGCCCCTGGGTTTGTGAGAAAACTACTTTTAGGTAGTAAGTGCTTTGATTTAAGGAATATATTAGGGCATTTTCTGAAGAATAGAATTTTTGCATTTGTACTGTTTCGATCTTAGTGAAGAAAAACTTTCTCCTGGGTGGTGAAATGACACAGATGACTGTGTTGAGGTACATTACAACCTGGAAGTGAAACTAGTTTACTCCTTTTTGCAAATTGAAAGGTAAAAATTCAAAGTGATGGCAGGTTACTTTGTTTCTTTGATTAAGATTCAGCAACTTTAATGACAAGTAGGAATTTTATTTAGTAAAATAGCCTAAGTTCACAATGAATTAAACATCCTTTTAAAAAAAACAGCTTTACTGAGATATAATTCATATACCATAAAAATTCATGAATGGTTTGTATAACCATTACCACTAACTTCAGAACATTTTTACCACCCCATAAAAGAAACCCCATATCCATTAGTAGTCACTTTCCATACCCCTCCCTCCTCCGACTCCACAGTCCCTTGCCCCTGGCAACCACTAGTCTTTCTATTTGTACAGATTTACCTATTCTGGACATTCCAGATAAGTGGAATAATGTGATATGAGACCTTTCTTGTTTTCTTTTATTAAGCATGTTTTTAAGGCTCATTCATGTTGTATCATGTATCAGTATTTCATTCCGTTTTATGGCTAAATAATATTCCGTTGTATGGATATATCTCATTTTGTTTATCCACTGATCAGTTAATGGACATTTGGGTTGTTTCCATGTTTTGGCTATTATGAATAAGGCTATGAAATTCTTGGGCAGGTTTTTGTGTGAATGTATGTTTCTCACTCTTTTGAGTAGATGTAGGAGTGGAATTGCTCGGTCATATGGTAACTTGATGGAATTAAACATCTCTTTTTATTTTATTTTTTTAAATCCTCACCTAAGGATATGCTTTTATTTATTTTAAAACTGAGGAAGAGAGAGAGAGAGAAACATTGATCAGTTGCCTCTCATAATGCCCCAACCAGGGATGGAACCTGCAACCTGGGTATGTGCCCTGACTGGGAATCAAATCTGTAACCTTCTGGTGCACGGGATGATGCTCCAACCAACTGAATCACCTGGCCAGGGTGAATTAAACTTCTTTTTAAGTTCTCTCAGTAATACATGAGAGCTGAATGCACTTAATAATCAAGTAGTCCTTGAATGGATGCCTAGGAAAATAGGGGGCAGTATGTACCACATGGTGACTTGGAGCTAGTAGATAGATAAATCCTGGAGATCTAATACACAGCATAGTGATTATAGTCAACAAAACTTTTGAAATTGCTAAGAGACTAGATCTTAATTGTTCTTACCACAAAAAAGAAATTAAAATTATGTGAAGTGGTAGAGGTATTAGCTAACACTTTGATCGTAATCAGTTACAGCATATAAATGTATCAAGCCAACACACAGTACACCTTAAATTCTCACAATGTTTATGTCAATTATATCTATTAAAAAATAAACCAAAAAAATCCAAGCTCTGGAACCTGACTGCCTGAGTTCAAGTCCCAGCTCTGCTAATTTCTAGCTGTGTGACTTTGGGTTAGTTACTTAACCTCTCTGTGCCCCAGTCTTCTTATCTGTAAAACGAGGACAGAGTATCTAACCCATAAGGCTATTATGAGGGTTAAATGAGGTAATGCATAGAAAGTACACAGGAGGTATTCAATAATATTAGCTGTTATGAAAATGATAGTTGTAATCACAGTATCTACTGTTTTTCTCTCTTGCTCTAGTTTTTGAAACTGTAATTGAAAAACTTTATTCAGTAGTGTGTCTGGAGCCCCCAGTGAGTCCTGGGTAAAAAAAAAAATACCACCTCTTATTAATTAGGTAGAGAGTTTATAGAGGCACCAAGAAGCCTAATGTGGGACAGCTATGGTGTCAGGTGTTCTTTAGCCATGAGGAGTATGATTTTGAGCAATGGTTCTCGAACTTCAGTGAGTCCCCAGGAGGGCTTCTTAAAACATAGATTGCCAGGCCCCACTTCCAGAGTTTCATGTTCAGAAGTTGTGAGGGGGACCTGAGAAGTTGAGCTTCTAACAAGTTCCCAAGTGATACTGCTGCTGCTTATCTGGGGGCCACACTTTGAGAACCACTGAAAAAAGAGTTCTGAATTGATTGAAAGAAACCCGAGTTCTAGTGCTGGAGGCTTTGGCCATTTGGATATTGAACAGTTAATACATCTCACACTTAACACGTCCAAACAGAACTCTTGATTTCTACATCTGTGTACTCCTGCAAAGCTATTCTTTCCATCTCACTTAATGGTTCCAACATTCACCAAGTTCCTCAGACCCCAAATTCTAATGTCTTTATTTGTCTCTTTCCCTTCCGGCCACATCCAATTCATCAGCAAGTCCTGTTGGCTCTTCAGATATATTCCAAATCTGAGTACTCACCACTTCTACCCCTACTGCCATGGACCAGTCTGAGTCCTCTCTTGTCTGGACTACTGCTGTAGCCTCCTGATTGGTTTTCCTGCTTCTCTTCTGGCCCTCTACAGA